GAGGGAAACTGCTGTCAGGATGTATTATATGAGAGAAAATTTTTTCAAAAATAAATTCAGTTGTAACTTATTACAAAAAAAAACCTTCTCAAAGCAAAGTAAGAAGAAAATGATATTATGAAGATACAATGTCTAAATGACCAAGTTCCACAATGAAATCAGCATGAAGTGTGAAAAGCTGAAGGAATAATCTGGCAGGGGCAGGTTTTGTAAATATAACAGCATGATCAACTCCCAGTGCAGACACCAGAGTGCACATTGGCTCACTGTCACCTACAGGGTTCAGTGGTGAGGTTCATACTAGAGAGAAATGGTATTAATGTCTAGCTGATCATGTAATATTTATTCCAGAGTTAAAATTAAATGAAAATATAAACTTAAAAAAACATAATCTGAACATATATATACATGCATGGAATTAGGTATAAATCCAAAGCTAATCTCATAAAAACTGTGAAGACATTCTTTCCTAAAACTTGAACATAGACAAACAAATTGTATATCTAATTACAATGGAAATTGAAAATTCTAATACTCAGGAAAAATATGCTTAATTTTTTTCTTTAGAGGGGTCCTTTTAAATGAAAATATTAATAGTCTTTTCCTTCTTTAAAAGAGGGAAGCGAAAATGTAGATTTCATACAACTTTACATAACATGTATATTCCAAATATTTAAGTTGTACAATGATCCTGAAAACACCATTTGGCACATGAAACTTTTGAATGATGGCAAGAAAAGCCTCAGACTGTGCCTGCCAGAGGGGTGGTCTGGAAGCAAGTGCACTTGGGACTCATGAAGGTCTCTTTGCCATGGGAACAGTCTTATGTGGAAACACAACAGAATTTAGTACAGCTTTCTTAATTGAATCTGTACATTCTTTCCCATTTGTCTAAGTTTAAGAGGTCATTGTTTTGGCAACTGTCAGTTATCTGTGTCATTAAGGAAACCATTACAAACTCCTTTACAACGTGGGGGTCATCCAAGTACAATGAACCATGTGTGCAACTGTCAGCACATTTTTGCCAACAGATGAATTTATATGATGGTATCACTCTGAAATCAGTTTGCAGAAACACATGGCATACTAGAAAATTCCCAGTATTGTACCGAATAGAATATGTTTGTCAATGTTTCAGCTGCATCCTTAGCTGACCTTAGCATGAAAAGTTTTGCCTCATTTAAATGTCCAAAATATCTCTCTCAAGCAAGCCAGGCATGAATAAACTTATCAACAAATACACAATGAATAAATAAAAGGACACCCATTTAAACTGCAATGTGATGGTTGAAGGCCATTTGTCTAAGGACTCTTCTAAATTCCTGAGTCTTTTTATGCTGTTAAATCACTAGTAAAAATCAGTTGAAGCCAGGCATGTTAGTGCTGTCTTTAATCCCAACACTCAGGAAGAAGAGGCAGGTAGATAAGTTTGAGGCCAGGCAAGTCTACAGAGTAGTTCCAGGACAGTAAGGGATGTTACACAGAGAAACCCTTTCTCAGAAAAACAATCAAACAAACAATCAGTTGAAAGCATAGTATTCAAGACCTTGATTTTGATAGAGTGATTAATTTCATGATGGAAAACAAGAATTTTTTCAGGATTATTGCTAGTCTTCAATTCTTATACAGAGTAAGCCAATTGTAATGACGGAACTAATGAAGAATTAGAGGTTGTTCTTCAGAGAATCAGCAAAACTACCAAGCAGCCAGGGCAAGTCCTCCATCAGTGCACTTGCTGAGCCCCAGCCTTTCACCACATCACAGGTACCAAAAGCTTCTCACTAACTTGACAAGTGTCATCACAAAATAACACTATTTATGTAAAACAAATGTCTGCTGAATAGGAATTACTACTACTTAGTTTGCCCTGTTCCACTTCATAATACGAGTAGGAACTGGCAGCAGTTGTTATGTATTTAATATCATCTGATTGAGCATTGGCCATAGAAAAGAACACAATTAATAAAACTGTAGTTGTCAACTCAGATCTCCTTCACCTATTTTTAATTATTATTTTAATAACTGCAATATATTGAAAAATATGCATTGTAGCTATTGTGACTATGTATCCCTTAAACTGAAATTACAAAGCCAGCCATTATACATTATTCTCCAAAATAACACATATTTGAAAATAATTTAATTTATTTCTTCAAAGATTTCTCAGATTGATAATTCCGCTTTACTATTCGGAGTTTAAAAGGTTGCTTTAAGAGCATTTAAAAATTGGATTTATCTAAAAAGCAAATTCTTCATTACTATCAATGAGCCTAATGAAGTAAGTTTCCCCTTTCTTAAGATGTAGATCTATGATTAATAAACCAAGAGCAAAAGCAAATTTAATGTCTAATTAATTTGGGCACTATGTAAAGACAGTAAGCACAGTCTAATAAAGTAGCCAGAACCTTAGTCAGAACTGCACAGAAACAGCAGATATGCTTGTCTAGAAAGCATGGAACCTTTGGAAAGCTGAGACACAGAGTTAGCCCTCCTTCATTATTTTTAAGTATGACAATATAAATAATATTCCCTTAGTCATTAATCGTATGTACTACTATACCTAACTATGTTGTTTTAAAATTGCAGATATAGGGAGCTGAAGAGATGACTCAGTGGTTAAAAGCACTGGCTGCTCCTCCAGAGGACCAGGGTTCAATTCCCAGCACACATGGCAGCCCACAATTGTCTGTAACTCCAGTTGTAGGAGATTCAAAACCCTCACACAGACACACATGCAGGCAAAGTACCAAGACACATAAAATAATAAATTAAGAATCATTAAACAACAACAATATAATAAAACAAAATTTCTAAGATATCTAAGAAAGAAAACAAATCACTTACTGAATAGCTAAAGGTAAAAGTATTGCTTTCTTTCTGAAATTCTGTATTTTCCCATATTTACTTTTGAGCAAGTCAGGATGCAATAGTCTAAAACTCTTTATCTCACTTCTTTCAAAATTGTTCATTCATGTTATTAACTGCAATACTTAAAGTATTTTAAATATTGAAGAGTACTTTTCACAATGTATTAAAAGAAACGCTTCATGAACTTTAAACCTGAAGCATTGTGAGCTGGTGAGATGGCTCAAAGAAAAATGCTTGCTAACAAGGATGAAGGACCAAGTTCCACCACCAGAGGCCTTGGGGAAGGAAAGAACTGATTCACAAAAGTTGTCCTCTTGGCCATCACATATGTGATTCAGCACACACACACACACACACACACACACACACACACACACACTCATGCATGCATATGCACAGACACATCCATACATACAGAAAACACACATAGAATCGCATTTTACATATATTTGAGGCATATTAATGAGTGTACCAACTAATTTCTTGGTATTTATTTCCCGAAGTGCTCTAAGAATAATAGAACTGCTACTTGAATGTGAAACAAAATCCATCAATAAAATCAAATTTGTGGGAAGCTGTACTTACTGAGACATCTTTCAGTTCTTTCTCAAGGGAGAAATGGCACGACTCTCTAGAAAAGATGAATTTGTATGTGTCAGATCCTGATCCTGAAACCAATGCTTTTCTCAATTCATCAGCATATTTTTCTTTCTCCATAGCCATGTCATCAGCTTCTTGGGAAATCTCCGATTCAGAAACTATGGGAAAGATTAATAAAAATAATGAATAATAAGTTTCTATTGGAAAACAAGTACTTAGTTGTTACTACTACTTTATCAAATATAACAGGTTTTTGAAAAAATAATAAAATCAAAATGTTTCCCTGTGGCTTTTTAAAATACCTTTAGTGCTATTTGTCCCTTTTTCCTCCCTCTCCTGTTCTCTCTCTCTCTCTCTCTCTCTCTCTCTCTCTCTCTCTCTCTCTCTCTCTCTCTCTCAGCAAACCTACAACAAGCTCTTTTTCTTCCTCTCCAATCATTACACCCCTTTACTTTCCCAACTTCTGTAGTTATGCCAAACTACATACGCAAATCTATGTATCCAGAGCTAGGAACTGTCCGTGTGTGTGTGTGTGTGTGTGTGTGTGTGTGTGTGTGTGTGTTCAGACATCAGAACCACAGGAAGAAAATGCCAGATGGATAATAACACTCCCTGCAGGAACAATTGATTACTAAACAATTACTCCAGAGCCAGGCAAGGAATGCCTTCAAACTGTTGGTCAAGGGACTTAGAGAAACACCAAACATAAGATACTTCCATTGTCCTTGGCTACACCCCTACAACTTTAGAGGAAGTCGATATTTCTGAAGATAACATACACTTCCCATACAGACCTTAAGGAATTGAACCAGTACTGACCTGAAAGCTTTCCCTCTGAGGATTAACACTCATAGTATCAGAAAATGCTATGCAACCTGACAACAGACAAATGTAATCAACAGTTCTATACAACTGGAAAGTCTACAAAGCAAAACAATACTTGGCCTGCTAAGATATCCCCAAAGGTTAAATAGTTCTTTTTATCTTGGTAATGGTAATAATCATCAGCCATCTATGGTGTACTCAATAAGATAGAAGTGATGCCTGGTACTGTAAACCTAGTCAACTATCAGAGGGTGGAGAAGACACAGACCCTCGAGTAGGACTGCTGTTTCCCTAAATCAATATAGAATCTAACTGTATGTTAAGTGTCTTTCTTTATTCTCAAAGATAAGTTTAGTTCTCAGCCCCCATCAAAGAAGCTTGGTTTTGCAATAGATGGAGGTTACTTCAAAGATCCCCAACTAATAAAACTGAAGAGAATGAGCAACTTTGAGGTCCTAAGCCCCAAATGGTATATCTACAACATAAAACCTCCTCCGAGGCTCAGGAAACAGCATGAACCACAGGTGGAAAGACAGAGAGAACAGGTACTAGGATATCAGCTATGAAAAGACCTTCCAGACAAAATGCTGCCCTCACAAGATCTTAATAACATGGCAGTATAATTAAAAATCTGAATAACAAGCACACCAGGTGTTCTCTGGGCAAAAGCAATCTGATGTAAAGACTGGTGCATGCCTTTCTTGGAGTCACTATAGCATTTACCAGTTCTGGAGTTACTTTTAAATTAAGAGCTAAATTTTCAACCATCATCTATAAATCAAACAAGGTTAGAGATGTAACTTGGGCAACTCATTCATTCATTCATTCATTCATTCATTCATTCATTCATTCATTCTGTGCAGGTGCAGGTGCCACTATACACATGTAGAGGCCACACTGGTCACAGCAGCTGTTTTCCTTGTCATTCCACAGCTGTGCTCTAAGACACTGAAATTGTAGCTCACCATTTAGGCCTGCCTCAGAGAAAATCCTCTTATCTATCCCCAAGGATTGGGGTTACAGATGTGTGAGGCTACACACGGCTTTTCCACATGGCTGCTAAGGTTAAGGTCTCAAATCCTCATGAGGAAATAACAGGTACATTACCTGTTAGGCAGATCCCAAGGTTTTAAGATGGTTTCATTAACAGAAAAATACTTCCAGTTGTTTCTCATAATGTCAAGTACAGATCTAGTGACTTAAGAAGCTTGGAAACTCAGCTTTTTCCAATCTGGCATTATAAATACAGTCATAATTACAGAATATCATAATTTCTGATATTCTTTTCTTTGATATTTACTTTTATTTGTGTGTGTGCATATGTATAAGATATGTTTTGCAGGTATCCATTTGACACCTACCTAAGCCTTATGAGTGCAAGAAATACATCTGTTTGCCAATATACCCAGGTTTCAATCTGTTGTTCTATTTTAATTAATGTATTTTTGAAGATAAAATACAATTACATCATGTACTCCCTTTCCTTTCCTCCATCCAACACCTCCCATATACCCCCTTTCTCTTACTCAAGTTCATAGCCTCATATTTTTTAATTGCCGTGATACATGTGCAGGCGCACGTGCACACACACACACACACACACACACACAAAGAGAGAGAGAGAGAGAGAGAGAGAGAGAGAGAGAGAGAGAGAGAGGCACAACACTTACACATACTCCTAAATATATTCATCTAATCACCTCAGTCTCTATAATGTTATTTGCATGTAAATGGCTTTAGGTCTGGCTAGTTGGGTATTGTATCTTCCTGGAGGAGCTTATTTCTCCTGCTTTCAGTATTCCTGAGTGGCCTGTAGTTCTTTGTCTACAATTAGGAGCCAGTGAACCTTGTTATTTTAATATAATTATATGAAAACTTAGAAAAATTAAAACCATATAGCAAAAACACACTAAGTTAAGAATATTTTAAAGATGGTCTCCTCAACAAATGGTGCTCAGGAAACCAGATATTCACAGGTAGAAATATGAAACTAGAGCCTCCATCTCATCCCCAACAACAGAAATATATTCAAAATGGAACCAAAATGAAACTGCTAGAAGAATGCATGGAGTAACACTTCAAATATAGGCTTAAACGATAGGGATCCAAAAGTTCAAGACACAACTGTAATTGTGGAGGAGGGGGTACACAAAATAAGACCTACACAGAAAAGAAATGTTTAGAAAATTGAGAGAATGAGACAAAGCTTTGCAAGCAATTCATCTCATAGAGAAATAGTATTAAGAAAATATAGTGAACTAAGAAAAATCAACACTGAAATAATAACCTAATCATTCCCAAGAGATGGGGTAGGTGGTTTCTAGAATTCGGTGGATGTCTGTCATAGTTTAAGGGTGTTTGTTGCAAAATGTTATTGGTCATGGTCAGAGAGAAAACTAAGCAAAAGGAGATGACATTCAGAAATCTTGTTCTGAAAAGAAAAAAAAATGGGGATGCAGAAATAATAGGATAAAGGGTAGATTCTTGAATGTACTTTTAAACAAAAAAGCAACGACAGTTTTAAGTGATTTAATATACATTGGTATGGATTTTTGTATACTGACTTAAATTTAAGGTTATTTTTGCTATAATGTATACATGTTTCAACTCATTGTTTAAGGTATTGTATCTATGAAGTTTATTAAATAATGTAATGTCAATTTCTAGTTCTTGGAAGTTATTATTACAAACTAATTTAACTAAGAAATACAGGTTAGTAGGTAGTCATCTAACAATCTGTGCCCATGTTAAGTATGTTTTCAAGGTCAAACAGATATATTTTAGATAGGCAGATGGTCTTCAAACACTTAGAGACCTCTAGAATATGGCACTTAAGATATTTTAATAACAGAATGTTTTTCATGACAGTGAGACATATCATGTAATTCTTACTTGATCATTGTTCTTATTGTGTATAGCTTTACTTTGTTAAGTTTAAAACCTTCCCTTTCATTTAAGCAACACCCTGTTCTTATTGTATATAGTATTACTGTGTTAGAGTCAAAACCTTTCCTTTTTGTTTAGGTAAAAGGAGGGAAATGCTATGGGATAAACTTTTTGCACACTATAATGATGTGCCTCTGTCTAAGGCACCTTCTAATTGGTTTAATAAAGAGCTGAATGGCCAGCATCTAGAAAGGAGAGAATAGGTGGGACTTCCACTGAGAAAAAATTCTGGGAAGAAGAGAGAAAGGAGATGCCAGCAAGATGCAGAGCAAGTGGGACATACAAAATGGGAGAGAGGTCAAAGCCATGTAACAAAACACAGATTAATAAAAACAGATTAATTTAAGTTTTGAGATCTAGTTGGGAACAATCCTAAGCTAAAAGGAAAGATTTCATATTTAAAAAATAAGTCTCTGTGTCATTATTTGAGGGCTGGCAGCTGAAAAGAAAGTCAGACTACACCCATGCTTATAGATTGATAGAATTAATATTATGAAGACAATCACCATAATAAAGCAATTTACAATTTCATGCAATGCCAATCAAAATCCCCCTGGAATCCTTCATAGAAGTAGAAAAAAAGTTCCTATAATTTATATGGAACCATAAGAGGGAACAACTAGCCAAAGCAATCCTGACCTTAATGTGTAAGAGATTACAATATCAGATTTCAAGCTCTATTTCAGAACCACAGTAATTAAAACAGTATGGTACCAATACAAAATCAGACATGTTGATCAATGAAACAAAACAATAAGATGAAAACATGACTACATGTAACTACAACTATCAAAAACATACACTGGCATTAAAAAACAAACAAACAAAAAACCACATCTTTACCAAATCATGCTAAGTAAACTAGATGTCCACACATAGAAGATTGAAATAAGACCTGTATCTATCACCCTGTACAAAACTCAAGTCTAACTGGATTAAGACATAAGTGTTACACCTAAAAGGCAGAAACTGCTAGAAGGAAACATAGGCAGTACCCTACAGGATATAGGTGTAGCAAAGGACTTCTGAATAGTATTCCACTTGCTCAGAAATTAGGGCTAACAATTGGCAAGGAGATACACTTTAAACTAAACAGTTTCTGTACAGCAAAGGAAATGATCAAGTGGAGAGGAAGCCCAAAGACAGGGAGAATTTTTGCCACCTAGATATCTGACAAAGGATTAATATCCAGAATATAAAACAACACCACCAAAAACAATTCAAGAAAACAACGACCTAATTTAAAAAAAAAAAATGGACTATTGGTGTGAACAGAAATGTTCTCAAGAGAATAAATTAAAAATGGCTACGAAATATCTTAAATTTAAATTCAACATCCTAAGAAATTAGGGGAATGCAAATTGAAACAACTTTGAGGGTTTAGCTT